ATTTTAACATTAAAATAATGAAAAGGCGACAACCGTGAAAACAAACAGTACAAAACCAGTCGGTGATTGGCAGTCTTGACTTGTGTTTTACTTACTATATCATTTAGATTGTTCCTTATGTATATTAATGAAATTTTTTTTATATTTAAACTTATCATGACCTGATACATAATAACTTATAAAAATAACTTATACCCTTTTGGAATAGGCTCATTGAGTTCCTCATACCACCTTCATTGGATACGGCTATTGAAAAAAAATATAAATTAAATCAATGACTAATCGTAAGAATCACCTACAAAGTAAATATTAGAAAACTTAAAAAAGGATGATATCGGTAAAGTTGTTCTCAAGTTATGGCGTGACCAAGGAAAGTAGGGAAGCATTTATAAATTTAAAGTAAATTATCACCGAGCGTTTTCTATACAAAGTATTGAAGCATTGGTTCTACAATGCTTCATCAATATTTTAAAATTTTAGAAGGTTTTGCACTTCCTCGTGTCATCAACTAACTCCTTTTTATGTTCCCAACATAATAATTTTACCCCGTTAACACCTAGAGCCGACGAACATTTTCTTACCGAAGTAAGTACACTTTGAAGGGTCGTATAAAGTGCACGTTATAGGTAATATTTTTATAGCTCAGCAGTCGACACCTGGCTTACATTAGCATTGTCATCACCGGCAGCTATAAAACGGCTATATTACCAACAAGGTAATGTTGAAAAAGTTCTTATGCGGTGCGGAACTGTGAAGGGCTCGTTCGAAAACACGATAAAATGTGTGAGGGGTCAACCATGCCGGCGATACATCATAAAATTATATGAAAGTCAAGTGCGGGTGAGTGAGAGGTGAAACGGGCTCGGGAATTTATCGCGGTTCTGCTTTCGATACCCATTGTGGGCAGCAGTTTTACGACTTTTAAAATAATTTCATGAAAATAAGTCCCACTTATCGCGAGGGGTCGCTTGCGGCCGTTGAATGCAAATAAATCTGGGCGGTTATTATTTCTTTTATATCATTTTTGGTGATAAAAACGAAAAATGAGAATCCAAAAGCAAAAAGAGTTAATACTTTGTACCAAAGTGAATATAGTGCATTTAAACTAGCTATGACGACCTCCGTGGCCGAGGGGTATCTTTGTACGCCAGGTAAAGGTGTAGCTTACTCAGAGGTACAAATCCCGGTGGGGTAAATGTTAGTATGATGAAAGCGAATATCTGTACCTAAGTCATGGATGTTTTTAAATACTTCTAGATAAATATTCTGATATGTGTATTAGTATATGTATTCTATTCGTTTAACACAAGCTTTACAAGTACTTACTTACTGTGGGGTTAGGCAAATTGGTGTAAGTATTAGAAATATTTCCACAAAGGTTTCCAACATTTTCTGACAATTCAACCGACTGTCTCAAGCTATAAAATTGTTCATAATATTGGTTCAATGTATGTAATGCGTACACGCTTTCCGTATTTCAAACCTTGTTAAAAGCCCAGACTGTAATAAACGATTCTGTATATAGTTATTCGTCTTTATTCAAAGTATTATAGCAACTTTTGCTATAGGTACCCTATTTATAATACGGATTGGTATCGATTGCCATAAAATTTAATATTCTGAAAATTTTTCATCGGGCAAATTCTTTCTGAGTTGTTCGGTTAGAAATTTCTTCCTCGGCTACAGAAATCTGAGCTCGTCTTGAGCATCATTTGAAATCACTGCCCGTGAAATTTGCGCGTTTCCTGATTTCCTGTAAGGGAAGGCATGGCTGCGCAGAAGATGCAGCTTTTAGTAATGAAAGCTAAAGCAATGGACTGTTTATAAAAGGAACGCAAACAAAGAAGAAATCGGTCATAGTCATAGCTCGCGTACCTACACAACACTTAAAAATGAATTACTTATTAGTATGATGAAAAACAAAGATGCTTTTAATTTTTTTCCTGCAAATCAGTAATTCTAGTTGAGCATCTCGATGGCGCAGTGGCCAGCGCGTTCAATCTGCGATTGAGGAAGCTAAGCAACTTTCGCAATGGTTGATCATATAGTGTGGGTAACTAAAAATTTACTATTTCGAGCTTCTTTTCTTTGCCCAACTGCACGTTTTTCTTATTCCATCAATAACAAAGGTGTGTGCCCTTAATAGCCTGATGGGACAGTAAGATTCCCATCAGGCATTGTTGGTAAATTCTAAAAACTATTGTGAGTTGGCAACCTATCACTGGTTGTTTCCGGATAATGATTTAAAAAATGATACTCCATCGTATTTTTAATGTTCTGTCAAGAAATCTATACTAATAATTATAAAGCTGAAGAGTTTGTTTGTTTGTTTGGTTGAACGCGCTTATCCCAGGAATAATTGGTCCGATTTTCAAAAATATTTTCGTGTTGGATAGTACATTTAACGAGGAAGGCTATAAGCTATATAACATCACGCTTTGACTACTAGGAGCGGAGCATCGATGAAAATGTTGCGAAAACGGGGAAAAAATCAGTTGAGCGCTTTCGTTGCGTGTGCTGCATAAATGGTTAAAGTAATACAAAAATCATGTATAATGAATAGTTCCACTTTAAAATTTCTATAAAAAGGCCGCGACAGCATATGTCCATCTTTTAAGTTTGACATGTGAATTGTTTTTTTTTCTTATTAACCAAATTTATCAACTGTCAGGTGACACTAAGTTCGCCGGGTCATCTAGTATTTTATAAAGTGAAGCTATTATCCGTTACCGAATTTTAAGTTTAAATAATAAAATATATGATGTACTTAACCTATTCTTATAGATTTAAGCCCACTTGCACCAAAGTTTTTAATTCAAATTAAGGGTTCATCGTACTTAACGCTATCATTGCAACTTTGTCAATTGCTTGAAGTCAAATAGAGACAGAATGATGCTTAAACATGATTAGCTTTAATTTTGAAAACTTCGGTGAAAGTGGGCCTAAAACTTATCCTTATTACGAATAAGGATGGATTTTTTTTTATTATTATTTTTTTTATTGTTCACATTTAAAAATCAAATTACGACAGAAAGATAATTTAACACAATTTAAAAAATAAAACCTCTAATAATATGAGAACGAATAAGAAGGTTGACACAATAAGGTCACAAATACAAGTGATAAACAGGGCTAATGTTATTTATAACACAAATGTGAGACCTGTTGGTCTGGAATCCCTGGCCCGAGTCCAACACACGCGGATCAGAGACTGGCCTTTAGATAAATAGCTCCTACTTTGTGCCATGTGTAGCGTCTTAAGGTGCATCCGAGTACTAGCACTTTATAGCTTAATTTATAACCGGTATAAAGCGAACGGCGCAGCGAAATCCTTTTTCATGAATGTTCGTATTAAAAAAATATGATATTTCTAAGGAAGGGCGAAGCGAGCAAGAATACAAAGTAACTTTTATTTAATGATATGCAACTTTGCTGTCGTCTACGACTACGATACGAGATGTATTAGTGGATTTCGTACTTTGTATCTGGTAACTTTTTCGATATCCTTATTTCAAGTGCTTTTATCTATTATTATCTATCTATCTTTCCATTATTTAATTATCTATTATTGTTAAACCTGTACAAGGTAACTAAGTCATAAGATGCATACATAGCATGTTTAGGAACCATATGTAACGCTTAGTTTGCAAATAAAGATTTTGAGTTTAATATAGTACATAAGTAGTTGTGTCTTTTGGGTCCTTTGAATCTGATATTTTGTACTAGTACTGTAATGTGCTTTATTTTTTCTAGTAGGAAAAAAAATCAAGATTAGATGTATCTGATTCTACAGAGCTTTCAACTAAATTTAAAGTTTGACTAAAGTAAATGTAGTAACTTTCCTTGTACATAACAACCAATAAAATTAATTTATATCACTAAGAACGGCCCTTGTAGTGAATGTTTAACAAAATTGAATACAAGTTTGAATGTAAGAAAAATAATATTAAAGAAAATGATATTACAATAATGTGGAAAAAGAAATAAGCATTTCATTTCATTGAATAAAAAGCTTTGAACGTTGGGCCACACTTTTTGTTACTCGAGTAGACGTAGGTACTTAAATATTCAATATTCTTTTACAGGCGATTTAGAAACCCACAAAGAGATTAAAAGTAAACATAGCTCTAGGAAAAAACATAACGTTTTATCTTTAGAGTTGTATAAGTACATTGGGGATAAAAAAGTGTTATTATATCATATAAAAGTGTGTAACCTTTATGAATATTTCAATTAAATTACTGTGTTTTTCGTATATATTCTCCACGTACCCTCTAGGAATACTTGATATCGACACATCGATTTTGCAACATGTAATCTGAAGCGCCTTTCTCACCGGATCGTTTTATTTTCGCTTCTCTACCAAATCTGTACAGATTCATTACCCAGAACCACTTCTTGGCCGGCTCGGTTTCCGTGCGGTAGCGGTTGTTTGCGAGAGTGACAAAACGGGCGCATCGAGTGGTTCGGTAGCACACGGCTCAGAGAGCCGAGCCATAACCCCTAACAAATCTAGTAGTTTCTAGTAACAATATAACTAATATACTCCTCCGCCAATATAAAGGGTCACTTAGTTAACTCCAAATAACTTCCAAACCACTTATACTTAACTACTACTGATGAATACATTATCTTTGAAATAAAAAGTCTCCGAAAGAAAATGTTATTCCTCATTGAAAAATCTACAGTATTTATTATTTTATCTAATAAGTTATCTTGATAATTTATTTAAGTTATTTCTGTTTTCAATGTGACCCTTTGTTTTTGCGGACGAGTGTTTTTAACAGACTTCAAAAAAGGATGTTCTTAGTTTGACCTGTATGTATGTATCTTTGTCCACGATTATCCCAAAAACTACTGATCCGATTTGGATGGAGTTTTCAGTATATAAATCCGTATTTATCAGGGAAGGTTTTAATATATAATATACTATCAGTATCGCACAGCATCACCTGCGTAAATTGATTGGAAGAGCGCGTATAATTTGTTAGTTTACTTACATATAAGACCCAGTCTTTGGGGCTGTGTGCGTTGGTCCCGCACACGTAGAGCCTGGCTCCGTCGCCCATGGGCTGGATCACCCGCACGTGATTGCGGCAATCGAAGTGCTGTTCAAAAAATAAAACAAACGTTAGTGATATAAAAAATAGACTGTTTATAAGGCAAGTGGTTCCAATAGTCAAAGTTTTGATTGAAAATTTTTGATTGTTGTCAAACCAATATCTGCTGTATGCACTTTTTGGAGATTTCGATACATATTTCCATCATTATGACTAGTATTTCTTAACCGATTTTCGAAAACAAAGAAGAATCTTTAGCATTATAACGGTTAAAAGAGGTTGCTTAAGAATATACTATGTCTATCAGCCAGAATATTTTCAAATATTAACTGCTATGTTAGTTTAATTTTTTGCACATAGCAAATATTTGTTTGCCAACGACAATAATTTAGTGATCTAAAATATATAAAAGCTTTTTTATAAGGCTTAAGGTTGCGGCAGTCGAAGTGATGTTAGAAAAATGAATGAATGAAATGAATTTAAGATCAAGACTGTTTATAAGGTCAAAGTAAAAGCTACTCTCGAGGAAAGTGGAGCTCGATGGTGCAGGTGGTTAGCGCGTTCGGCCTGCGACTGTGGAAGTTAAGCAGCTTTAGCAATGGCCGGTCATTGAATGGGTGATCAAAAACTTATTAACTCGAGCTCTTCCATGCTTTGAAAGGCACGTTAAGCCGTTGGTCTCGGCTGTATCTGAAGTCGTTAGCATACACTAATCCACATTGGGCCCACATGGTGGTTAAGAATGGAGAACTCATTATGCCATCCAAAGCGAGGGCCTTTTCGCCAGCGGTGGGGACATAGAAAGCTAGTGATGATGACGATAATACATATTAAACTATCATAATGTTAATGCATTTTGTATAAACCTGTGGCCTTTTTAGGGTAAGTATTTACAATATAGCATAATTTAAGTGTTTACAGGTGCTAATTCTGGGATGATTGTCTAAACTTAAAACCAAATTTAACATCAGTGTCTTCTTTTTAATCTGTATAAAGAATGTCAAGGATACACTGTTGTCAAATTTATGTTTAGGTTTAGTAGAGCATCATGCCAGAATCGATACCAATTTCTATTTAAAAATATAATAAATAATGTAATAATTTTATTACTTCAAACGGTTGACAAGTAAAAATGCTAAGTGGAACCGGACATCGTAAAGTTGAAAACACACAAATAAAAAAAAATCGGTAAAACCTATAGAAATATAATGAAAAAAAAACCGACCTGTCTGCCGCAAAATGGAGTGAATCGAATTTATTTACTAAATACCCGAGGCGAAACTCGTTGGAATAATAGTGATTCGAGGTCCGCGCGTATGAATGTTCGCAGCGCCGTGATTATGCAAATTTGCGTTCAACATAAATATTAAGCGGTACATTAATATTCTGGACGACAGAAATAATGCGGAGCTCTCGCGCGTGTACAAAGCAGTGCCCACTCAACTGGAGTGTCCAGTTTCACTTCATTAAGTCATTAAAATTACCAATTTTTAAAAGTACAAATGAGGTATTGCGCCTAAAGTGTTTTTAAGATAGATTGCAGATCGTGACTGTGATCGCCAACTCAAGACTAAATTCAGCCATCTTAAAAATCAGGTGAGTACAGCCGCGCCGTGTCGGAGGATTTTCTTGAAAGTAAGACTGAATCAGTTACAATAATTATTAGAAAATTATTCTTAATTCTTATAGAAAAAAAGTAACTTATAAGTATTGGTCTTAATGAAACTTAATTATTTCACGATTTATGTGAGTATATTTTTTAAATAAAACAATGTCGTCTCGCCTTCGGTAATTAATTATGTAGATATTACAGAAAATTAATTGCGGTGTGAAGATTTTTTTCCCATAAAAAGTAATTTAAAATATTTATTCATGGAAACTACAATATTCAGTATCTTAAAATTAACGATAAGCCACAGGCTACGTGAAGCCAAATTGATGACATGACGGGTTTCAATATTGAGTCAAAGATATAAAAAAATATCGTTTGATTGGACCTAAGAGGATTTAAATTTCATATAACTCAACTGAAAAAATAAACTAAAATTTTCATAAACGTAATAGAGAAATAATGTTTTGGTGGACGTTTTCGCTATTCACGTTCACAGTTCATTTTATCGTCTCAAGTTTTACTTGCTAGTCAATCAATCAACCAAACAAAAGCATTTATTCAGTTTAGGCTGTTAAAAGCACTCATGAATGTCTAGAAGCTACGCCATCAGCTCGTAAATCTACGGTGGGAGACCTTGTACTGAGAAAAACCGGCAAGAAACTTAGGTCTGTTTTCCCCCCCTGTTTTATTATGTACAGAGTCGTCAAATTGAAAAATGACTTCAGAGATGATTCATGAAGTCACCGTTCATTACATAATGATTAAATATATATTAATCGTTAACCTGCATTTTGATTGCTGTGTAATATAGTATAAATACAAAGTCAATTGTTTGGTCTATTATGATGATCAGCTGTTTGTCGGTGCCAATTGTCTGGCGGTCGGTGTGGTCTAGATACGCTATTCTGGTAACGTCTTTATCAACAGTTTTTTTTGTTATTTTTTAGTTTTGAAATAATTAACAAAAGTATCTAGACAATTGAGCTTTTAAAGATCTACCCCTTACTGAAGATGAATTATTATTTAAACTGACCGTTAACATAAATCTTGGTGATAAATGTGTCATGTCAATCGGATTTCAACTTAAGTCAAAGATTTATATGAACCAAATGGTTGGACCTCAATCCCACGCGGCCCAGACAGCAGACGGGACTTGAACTCGCACCCTCCGCTATCCGGGTGGATGCACTGACCATTATGCTACTGCGGCCCTAATTGGCCGTGTCGAATTTTCTCTAGCATTTCTTAGGCTGCAAGGCAGCTCCATCTCTCCCCATTGTAGGTAACCCACAACGTTAAATGAATACCTTTACAAGTATTAAACATTTGAAAACAACAACGTCAATGAAGTTTCATAAAACTCAAACTCAACTGCTATATTGAAACGAAAAGTTTCATTAGTTCAGAGCTCAGTACCCTTAGCCACATATTGGTTTGGGCTAAGGGTACGGATTTCAATGTTTTGGTGGACGTTTTCGATAGTTCACGTCAGCGCTGCCAGGTCTCCCGATTTTACAGGAGATCTCCTGTTTTTCCCAAATGTCTCCTGTTTTTCTGTTTCTCTACATGAATCTATTATTTTTCTTAGAAATCGATTTTCTTTTTTATATTGTGTGAAACATTACGTAACATCTGCCCCACCCTCGAGTCACTTGTGCTGTGCTTTTCCGGTTCTCGCATTAAGAATGTTATCTACATATAATACAATAAATTTGCTTTTTTACAAAAAAATACGAGCTTTGAAGGGCGGAAGAAGTAATTTTGATTAACCAATTCCAGGGGGGGGGGGGGGAGGGTGCAAATTTGAAAAAAATACGCCCCTGCTTCTACTGCTTTTTACTTGCAGCTCTTCCCATACATCTACTGTGTTTTTTCCTGTAACTCCTTCCGATTAAATCATACCTGGCAACACTGTTTCACGTTCACATTTTCATTTCGTCGTCTCAAGTTTTAGTTGACAGTCATTTGTTTGGTTTATTTTGATGCTCAGCCGTTTGTCGCTGCAGATTGGCCGGCGGTCGGCGTGGTCTAGCGGGAGATTGAAACTAATTTTCTCCATGTCAGTACCATCACTCTGCGCTGCGGACATACTGTCAGAACCCGAAACACAAATGGAATTGAGAATAATGCGGTAATTTTAGTGACAAGGCGCGCGACTCGCTTCCTTAGTGTTTCATCAATCGCTGTTTTGGGGATTGCACTACCTATTTCATTGCATTTTTCATGCGTTACATATTTTGTTAAAATGTTCAATTTTGTGAGTATATTTGCACTATAAATCTGATTCCTATAGCCACACGATAAGACGCTTCATTTGATATTGGTTGTATCACATTGTTAATATGTAATATCATTGAATAAAATAATATTAAATGAGTTCTCAGCGCGCGTATGATGATAGACTTATTTAATTATTTACAAAAGTATGCGTAAAAAAAGTATATGTATGTGATAGCCTTACTTGATGCGTGCGTTTCAGACTTTCCGCGGCTTCTTTTTTAGGCTCTATTGTTTTATTCAATGATTGATGGATGTACTTACAATACTTAGATGTATATATATTCATTTAAGTTTAAGCTACATGAACTTTTGACCCATCTTCAGTATTTTTTTAAAATAATTTGATTTATTAGTGGCTACAGCAATAAAACCTTTGAATAAATCATAAATTTAATACCGATACTATAAAATACCAACTGATGCAACTTGCAGTTTGCGTAAATGATGCATTTTGTTCCGACTTTTTTGATTTCATATTTTGATATATCGTAAAATTTGTAGCTTTGAGCTTCTGATGTATACACATTTAGTTATAAACTTCTGGACACATCTATTGGCCCACCTTGTATTTTCAGTTTCGTTTGGTCCTAGCTAAAATTTTATATTAGGTTGAGCAAAATAGGCCAGGGTCGATAATTTTAAAAATGGTGAAAAGTGAAAATAAATTATAGTAGGATGAAACCTATTAGAAAAGGTAGAGAATATAACAAAAATGAAAGGAAAAATTAATTACGGGCGATCTGAGGTCGGGAAGGGGGAGGGGGTGAGTTTTTAAGGGTAAAAAATGGTTAATCTCGATTTCCGGTAAAACTGCAAGTCCTATGAAAAAAGTTAAATGGCAAAGTTGTAGGTAATAAAAAGATCTACAACTTTTGTATCGACACTTTTTTCACATAACCTCAAAATTTATGTGAAAAATGCGAATAACCGAGTCTTTGGTTTTTGTTTTTTATTTTTTGCAAAAAAAAATATTTTTTCACGAAATTTGGTGAAAACTTACCTTTGTATGTCCCAAACAGACAGTATTTTTTTTTATTTAAAATATTCATTTTTTTACCTTATTTTGACTTAATATCCAAAAAGCACCCTAATTTTCAATCGAAAATTCTCACGTCAAAATATCTGCTTTTTTAAAAAAGTTGGGGTGTTTTTTGTTTGTTAAAATCTCTACTTTTTGATGGTATAAAAAAAATATACACTACTATGATAAATGTTCTCAGAAAATGCAAATTAATAATGAAAAAAACTCGAATCCGAAAATCCTATTTTTAATACCTACTTACAACAACTATTTTTGCATGTTTTATGGATTTGTAATTTTTCTGTTTATCAATATAACATGAAATCTTACGTTTTTCGAGTAATTAAAGTGTAAATTTTAATAAATACTTCAAAATTATACATAATGATTCAAATCAATTTTTCGGATTGGAGTTTTTTTCATTATTAATTTGCAGTTTCTGAGAACATTTACCATAGTAGTGTATATTTTTTTATACCATCAGAAAGTAGAGATTTCAACAAACAAAAAACACCCCAACTTTTTTAAAAAAGCAGATATTTTGACGTGAGAATTTTCGATTGAAAATAAGGGTGCTTTTTTGATATTAAGTCAAAATAAGGTGGAAAAATAAATATTTTAAATCAAAAAAAATACTGTATGTTTGGGACATACAAAGGTAAGTTTTCACCAAATTTCGTGAAAAAATAAAGTTTTTTGCAAAAAATAAAAATCAAAAACCAAAAATTCGGTTATTCGCATTTTTCACATAAATTTTGAGGTTATGTGAAAAAAGTATAGATACAAAAGTTGTAGATCTTTTTATTACCTACAACTTTGCCCTTTAACTTTTTTTCATAGGGCTTGCAGTTTTACCGGAAATCGAGATTAACCATTTTTTACCCTTAAAAACTCACCCCCTCCCCCTTCCCGACCTCAGATCGCCCGTAATTTATTTTTCCTTTCATTTTTGTTATATTCTCTACCTTTTCTAATGGGTTTCATCCTACTATAATTTTTTTTTGTCTCAAAAATTATCGACCCTGGTCTAAAAAGTTTTTATGCAGTTTTGAACCTGGCACATTCACAATTTCATTCAATAGTCTTTTTTTGAACTTCGAACACAGAATTTAAAGAAACAAAAGACAATTTGGAGCCTGTTTGTTGATATCAAACAATCGAATACTAAGAAAACTTGGTTTTATTGGTTTACTTGGATTTAATTCTTGAAAAAGTGATTGATATCTTTGGTTTTGCAACAAACATTACTTATTCTTAACATTAAGGTGAGGTTTTATCAATAATCTATGGATACTTCACCTAAAGTCGCCGGCCAAGCTGTGGCACTTATTCAGGCCGGACACAGTCAAAGAAACGTGAGTGCTCAACTTAATTTAAGTCGATCTGCGGTCCGAAATGTTTATCGGAGGTACCTAGAGACTGGCGGCTTTGTTCGTCGCCAAGGAAGGCCACGATCTCGGGTCACAACTGAAAGACAGGATCGATTCATCGTGACGACCAGCTTGAGAAATCGTCACCTTACCTCCATTGAGATACAAAAACAAATTCGCGACTTCCACGGAGTATCTGTGAGCGCTCGAACTGTTCGGAGAAGGTTTAAAGAACGCGATATGGTACCACACAAGCCAGCTAATGGGCCCAAACTAACGCGACCCCACCGAACAGCGCGCCTTCATTTCGCACGCAGTCATTTAAATTGGACATAGCAAGATTGGAGCCGTGTACTCTTTTCTGATGAGTCTAAAATTGTGTTACATGGCAATGATGGAAGGAAGAAGGTCTACCGACGTAAGGCAGAGCGTTTCGCACAATGCTGATTTGAAGAGAGGGTTGCTTATGGCGGTAGCTCATGGACTATCTGGGGCGGTATATCCGCGAGCGGCAAAACTCAACTTAAGATTGTTACAGGACCACGGCTGCCAACATTAAATGCTGAAAGGTACATTCGTGAGTGCTTAGAACCTCACGTGATACCATACGCGGACTATGTGGGCCCAAATTTCCTTTTTATGCATGATAATGCAAGAGCCCATGCGGCCGGCATCGTCAGGGAATATCTTTGGGATGTGAACATCACAGTTATGGACTGGCCAGCCAGAAGCCCAGACATGAACCCCAGTGAGCACATGTGGGACGAGCTAAAAAGACGTGTTAGGGCTCGTCAGCCAGTTGCCCAGACGATGCAGGAGTTGAAAACTGCCATAGAAGAGGAATGGTAGATGATCCCTCAAAATTTCATAGAGCGGTTGATAAACTCTATGCCTAATCGTATGAGAGCTGTGTAGATGCCCATGGAGGCAACACGCGTTATTAAATTAAACCTTTATTTGATAAAACATGTTTTTTATTCAAAAATCAGTTGCCTTTAACAAGGCGCATATCCGACTTGTTAGGCGTAGCTCCATGTCGTATGGTATTCTGAATTCAAATTTAAAACAATACGATCGAAAAAGATGGTAAATGTATCAGGTTTAAAACTGTATCAACAGTTTTTGTTCAATCTAGCAATCATATTTCGGTAGGGGCCATCGAAATCTAAACTCTAAGGTGGGCCAATAGATGTGTCCAGAAGTGTATTACCATAGGTATATTCTACAATGTAGGCGTACTGTATTTGAAATTACCACAGTATCCATACATTTTAAAAGCAGAAACGAATTAATAATTTTATTTTTAATAATCTTAAGATTCGTAGGTAATGATTAAAATATATTTTATTGTTGTATGACTAGGGTTTAACGAGCAAGCAACCTCCATAATAAACAGCTAACCAACTAGCTAACCATTTTATTTCGAGCAAAAACTCCGGTAGCAACATTTTCTTACTCGGTTCGGTCCCACGAAACTTCGCTAGATTGTTCTAAAGTAATTATCGGATTAATATACTCGGAACGTTCAGCCTCACTGACGCGAACAGAAAACTGTTTTGCAGAAACAATCAGAATTAAGTACAAGAACAATCGGCTCACGTCAAACTTTCTTTTAACGGCAGTTAGCCGCGTAAGTTCAACGGAACTAATGCCTTCGATTGGTCCATTTCGTTAATTATTCGCCACTTCGTACGTAAGTAGATTTACGGCCGGCTTTTTGTCGCGCGCTCTGGTTCGTCCAGTATTTTTTTTCGCAGCTATTTTTCTTTAACGGCCTTAATTAGGGTTTTAAGGGGCGCATAATTTGCATCGCCAATAGGTTTACTGGTTACCATCGACGACCTGTACATTATTATAGGATAAGTACTTCTCGTGCCATCGAATTATTTCGACGTACTCGTAAGTAATGATTTTAGAATCTTGCGTTCTAGGGATTACATTTGCATAGTTTTTTTTTTCCAAATCGAGATGTCTGATTTCTCTATAAATCATTGTACGTTTAGATACTATTATCGAGTCATTCTGAAATGTATTATGTTGACTGTTTGCTAACAATTTGAACAATTTTAAATCTCGTGAAAGTATTAACTAGGTACGTGAAACTACACACAGAAACATGATTTTAATAAGTGCAAATAAAAGTGAAAAAAAAATATTAATTTGTTATTAAAACAACCACATCAAGAAATATTAGCGAAAAAGGGGTGCCTACCGAAATACGAAGGAACATGAGATAATATTTTTTGCTAAAATTGCTTTATTTCCAGAATTATTAATTATTGAATCTCATTGGTTTTAAGGAGAGACAATCATATAATATAATTTATTTTTTATAGCGACAGTAAATGATGTCATCTTTAATTCTTAATTTCTATTTAGCTATAACAACAGCCTCACCGTTATTGATATTAATGGTTCAAAAGATGCCCCGCTCAAACATCTACAAGACTGATTTAGTTCGGCAGTGAATTTTACTTAATAGCGTCACAAAGAGAACAGAACTTAAAACAACAGGGATCTGCGGTCGCCTTAACGGGAATTTCGCCAGCGGCATTTTTCCGGCCTCTTCCGTGTTACGACATCGTGTTTAGAGAAAGGAAAACTCGCCGACATTGAGAAACTTTGATTATAGCCTTCACGAGTGGCCGTTCCGTCCACGATCGAGGTGATAGACTCCGGGATATTTCTTTTTCATGACCCTCTTTGATACTAATAAAACAAATTTACTTTTTTTCAACATCGGAAGAGTTGCCAACATCTTTTATATACCTTTTCTTCCGGCAATTGCGCGCAAGTTTGACCTTTTATTTGGGAGCCCGTACGAGTGTGTTACACATTTGTAACGCAGTCCAAGAAATTTACCAACTTTTTTTTGGGGTTTGTTACCTTTGCTGTTGAGAAGAGGTCTCGATTTTTATTTTGAAACTCTTTACTGAACGCTTCGTCTGAGACTTTCCATTTTTGCTTTGGAGCTTTATGACTTTCTCATCATATATTTGTTGAGTCAACAAAGCGGTATAACTATGTTTATTCAAGTCAAAGTAGCTATAAATTCTAAATGAACCTTTTCTTAATTCCTTTCATTCTAAAAACTGTTGTGTATAAACATCTCAGTCGAATAAATATCATGCATGCATATTTTGATTTTAAAAGTTGAGAGTGTTTTAAATGCTTAAATAGAAGCCAGTTTAAAACATTTCCTTTTAAAGAGGCTAAATAAATTTCTAGCACTAACTGATGGAAATAGGAACAGATTTAAAACTATCGGGCAGAGCTGTAATCTTGTCACGAAATAGGGGTGAGAGAAGTCAAAACCAATCACGACCGAGATAGCAATGTAGAAAGCACTCGTCTATAAGAGCCTCTCGCGCGGTAGCATTATCGAATTAGCCCTCGCGAACGGCGCCATAATCGTCCCCCGATCTCCACCGGGCGAGAAATAAAACAAATATTGCTTTTACGCCACGATTGTAAATCAAAATTAACAGCTTTAATATAGCGAGCCCGCGCGCCTCTAAGCTCCCGCCATGAAATATGCTCGCACCCCGCCGCTCACTGTTAAAAATGGGATTAACCCCTGATGGAAATAGTGCTAGTTGTAAGTAATTCTACGGGAAATAAGCACGCTTTAATTAAATTGCAGCGGCATTTTTAATTTTGCGTGCAGTTGCAGTAGCGTAGACTTACCTCTGACTTTCCTTTGGACACGCATTGAGCGACGTTGCTCGGTTCTAAATTTATCGAATCCCTCTGCAAACAAACAAAAGTTAGTTAGAGAAACTTAATTAAAATGTAAATTCACTTGAGTTTAAGTAGATAACTGTTGAGAGTACAACTGGTACAACTAGTTCTCTCGAGATAAAAAAAGATTGAGAGGAGTTTTTAATAGAATTTGAATACAAATGTTTATTTCTTTTTTAGTAAACGATTTGATTTAAATCTCAAATCACTTTTTGAAGCTTTTATTGAGTTGTTGCAATATATTTTAAGGACCATCGATCGTAACAAATAATGGAAATATTTTAATCGGCTATAGCATGAAAGACAATTTATAAATATTTTTTAAAATAAAAATATTTTTTCAAGGTGGTTTTGTCCATCGCAACAACAACAAATATCTTATTCAGCTATGGCATGAAAGACAAAATGATGAGAAATTAATTCTAAATAAAAGACCAGTCTCAAGTAGGTCTTTTTGACTTTTTAATTTTAACTTATTTTAAGTATGTATTTATAAAAGAAGATCTAAAGTAATGTGTACTTACTTCACAGTGTGATGCGCTGATATTGTTCATGTTGAGCCGATACAACCGATCCCTGAAAAGAAAACGCGGTCAGTAAAAACTCATAAGGTCAAACTTTTGCTATTTGAAGGGACACGAGAAGTTTTGCGTGGGACGTAAAAAATGGGAGTGTCGCAAACATCTACAATGGTGGGATCCTAAGGTTATTTCTTTAACAGAATTACCACTTTTATTTATTTTGGCTAAACAAAGTTTTTTTTCAGTTCACATCAGTATCTGTGCCTCAACAGTGGAAACACAATATGTAGACTGATGATAAAGATTATGATTTGATGTTAAGTATCTAGTTATGCATATAGCCTAATCGCTATAGTATCACTCAAAAGAAATCCTAGAAGTATTGAATTTAACGAAACCACAGTAGTATATGTATATTGTTTTTGAATTGATAATCGATTTAATTATTGTCTATAAATGTATATAAAACTCTCTAAGTGAAAAATAGTGTCCTAATAATTGAAAAACAATTTGTATAACTATAATCTACTGAATCAATATCACTAATACAATTGAAGCTTATGCTATTTTAACTCTGTGCTAAATATTCAAATGATTTTGTCTTTAAAATTACAGGAATAGGACACAGAATTAATTAATATGACATAAACGATATAATTTAAAAGATTGTGACAAATGACTATAACATAACAAGATAAGTAAGTATTTATTGTTATTCTTATTATGTGGAAGTGTGGTAATAAATTAATAAAAGGTACTGCAATGCCCGTGCGCGTTACAATCTTTCTTGCTTACTCATTTTCTAGAGCCTACGGCAGGCAGCTATTAATATTGCAAAAGAATAAATATTGAAATAATGGCAATAAATGGTATTGCCTTTAACTCGTTTTGAGAGCCGCTATTCTAGAATCTGACGAAGTGTAGTTCGCATATCACTGTAATAGCTATTGTATTGAAGCAAAAAAAGTTCGTTTAATTGATCAAAAGTTTGATTTTCAGGTGGATATATGGAATATATTTATGCCTCAGGGCCTGCGCTGTGTTAAGCGAGAGTACGGGGCGGACGTGCGCTCCGCGTGTTTGTTTTATGTAATTTCATAGAGCAGAGCGCTGCGTGAGGCGGTTCTCCCGTTTCAGCGATGTTCTATGGAATCACATGGAAATGCATGCGGAGCGGACGTACGCTCCAAGCTCTTAACGCAGCGCACGCCCTTAGAGTACTTACATAGCGCCAACGTATAGTGCGTCCCGCTTCGAGTCAACGAAGAACGTTCTGTAGTACAGCGTGCCACAGGAAAATTCCCGTACATGATCTGGAAAGAGAGAAAACCAACGTTATTTTTCATTAACAACATATTTGTGGCCGTTTGCTAACCATATAGATAGTGAAAGCCTATCGACGGATATGGCAGATACGGAAACTGATGGAAGCTGGACTAATATGCTGACAAAAGTCACTTTTATCCACAATAACAACTTAGGCTAGCACCATACCATATAAGCTTACAATATAATTATAATATTTTTAGATTTTTTTATAATTGCTAAACATTTATTGCTAGCTGTTTCAACAATCTTTTCATCATGTAACGACAATGTAATGAAAACGTATCTATTACAGTTTCTTTGGTCTAATGGGGACTCAGAAAGGTTGCAGCAGGTAAAGATTTCCCTGACTTTAAAGTTTGTTAATGCCTTGAAAAACAAATTTAAAAACAATCAAACGTTGATGATCTGTTCGGGAATTTGCAAAAGAGGTAAGCAGATATTTTTTCTAAGCAAGACGCAGATCAAAGCCATGTTATAGGGTTCATATTCACAAATACGTTTGAGCTACGCGACAACGGCCAGAATAGAATAACATCAAAGTGACTCCGTCAGTCACTTTGTTATTTTACATTTTCGTGTTTTATTACAATTTACGTGATAATACGTTATTCATTTTGGTAGCGTTTGTTGACTAAACGAATTTATTTTTCAGTATGAGCTTCTAACTTTTTTTACTTTTTTCCCTTATTTCTTCTTGATTTTGAATGATCGAATCATCAAAGTGATTATGGCGTCAGCTTTGATTTTATACCCCCCCCCCCCCCGTACGGAAGCGTAGCAAAAATATGTACTATATATGGTAGATAGGTTCGTCGGTACACACGCACACAGACTGCTTTAAAATAATATATATAAGAGTCACGCACACATTGCGCATAACATGAGGCGGTTTCTTTGATTGGTTTATTCAGATTGCTCTATCTAGGCGTACATATTATCAAAGGACGTCAGATTGAAGATGACTATTTTGAGCTCTGATTAAAGTTTAAACAGGTCCATCATTTCGTGGACAACACACACTTTAATGAAAGTAATATAATTTCATTGAAAGTGACGAAGCGCGGTGCTCAGTGCAAATGAGTACAGAGATTGTCCCATTTCGTTGGCATAGGATTCGTGTCTGCATGGGAAGACATTTTTGCTTCATCTAATATTAAAACCTTAAAGCCACGTTGTGGGGACACATCGCGGGAGTTTCATTTTACTACTTCGGGTGTCTACGGGTTATAACCCTGGTTTTATAAAAGTAGGGTTATTATATGTCATTATTTTTGTAGATTCATCAAGTAAGGTGGTGTGTTCAAAATATTATACTAATATGCATACAGATTATTTTTGTTTTGACGTCAGAATATTTGCTCTTTATTTTAAATACTAATTTCATGTTTAGATTTTCTTATTGATTTAACAAGGACTGTTAGTTAGAATCAGAATAATTTAATCATATATTTATTATTATAGTCAATATCGAACTCTTATGGAACTCAATTCGTCTATTTTCGATAGTACAATCTCGCATCCTAACATTCTTCGGACACGTTTCTCGGCGTAACAACCTATCCATAGAACGCCTTGTCGTCCAAGGAAAGGTGGAAGGTACTAGACCGCGCGGAAGGTCTCCCACGCGATGGACTGACCAGATCAAGTCAGCCGTTGGAGGTTCACTAAACGAGTGCAGCAGGATGACCTCTAGCAGGCAGCAATGGCGAAACAGTGAAGCGCATCACATCTGCCCCCTCCAATAATACTACAAGTGCATAGCGATCACGACCGCTCTGTCAAGAGCGTACCGGCTAAGAAGGAGAAGATGGAACTCAATTAACAGATCCTGATAAAATACTATTTAAAAGTTAACTTTAAAGTAAAAAAATAAAAGCTTTATCGACAGTTGTACTGTTGGGTAGCCCTGCGTTTCAAGGCTTAGTCTCCATCACGCACGATGTAGCAACGGTTATTTTTATAAGGGTAGACTGAACTAGGTCCACGGAACGGAACTACAAATTGTGTCCAGTACGTGACTAAAGCGGTCGAAGTCATATAAACTGGAAAGGCTCTTATTCTGCAATTGTATTAAGACTCTACCAATAGAAAAAGCGTGAGGGTTGATTTTGCTTCTTTAAAAATAAATAGATGTACAAATAAGTGTATTAGATAGTGTTACAAATATACGACTTGTGTTAGTAGGCTAGGAATGACTGTGATGATGATGATGTCTTATTAATGGATACATGGTGCTTATTCATTACCTGCGTGACGAAGCTTTGGTACTTTAGCATTCGAACTTTGAACTAAGTACGCTCCTTCAGCTGCTCATAGAGTCTGTGCGGAAAGAGAATGGGATTTCGATTGGAGGGCGCTGTAGTGCTTTTCTACCGTATTTGTAAGGTTTTACCCCTTTTAGACATAATTAAAACCGCAAGAAATCACAACAACAAACAAATCCGTATGAATACAAAACTTTGACGATTTACAGATTGCTGGGTTTGATTGCCAAATAAAAATCTTAAAGTTAGTTCCGTTTTTCGCCACGCCCATTCTCTTTCGAAATTTTCTATAAATATCTTTTTTACTATATCATTAAATGCTAACTGTTTATGCTATTGCTGACAGCTTCAAAGTCAAATTAAATGGTTGTGAAGTTGGTGGAGTCATTTGAGAGAGAGCTCGTAAATTAAAAATGTGATATAAAATTGGTGTGGTTTTTGTTTTTTGGTTATTCGTTATACAATTGTACCTACCATAATAGTCTATAAATTCCATAAGCATTAAAATTTTAGAAACGCCACGCTAAATTGCAGTAGCAATTGAACTGCTACGTGAACTATTCGTGTAGGTATACCTGTTTAAACAATACATCACTAAAATTCATAGTGAATAACAACGCTAAAAAGCTACAAGAGTTGGAGAATGTGTTCGTGCCCGGTAAATGGAGTTTGAATAGGAAATGCGACATTGGCGGGATTGGGCAGGTGCGGCGGATCCAGAAGGTATTGCGGAGATGCTCTGCACCGACTGCAGCTGTGTTGTGTCGCCTATTTGCATATGTTCAAATGGCAATGTGGCGTGCAAAATTTGCACCGTAGGTATTGATGTTCGGAAGATCGAAATTTTCATGTTAGTATGACATGATAATATTAAAAATGTCGCTATTGGCAAACGAAAGATTGACACTTTAATAGGAAAATATTTGAATAAACAACTTATTTTTTGTAATTATAATACATACTATTAAAATAAAGTTACCTCTGAGGCAAAATTAAATAGGCGTATATAATCATGATTCAAGAACTAATTGATCTTGTGCTCAACACAGCACTCGAACGAAAACTTCAAGATCTCATTTCAGGACCATTGCATCAGACATTAGAACTGATATCATTGTTCTATTATAATAGCTATGCTATTAAAATAGATAGGTATAATTCAATTACGTAAAGCAATGACTTTGACACTTGAAATAGAACCTAAAGCTTGTCTCGAGTCTTAGATAATTCGGTTACAATAAGAATAATATTTTGAGAGGAAAGATAATAATAATAATAATAATCTATAATTTATTACATAAAGAAAGCATATGTAAATTATTTTTATTACCGTCCTGTTATTCTATAATAACGGGTAATGATCCTTTAATCTAGCATATGACATACAATACTCGTATCAATAATTGTTAAAAGTATGGTATTTTCACCGCAAAAAATGACATATCACCTCATGAAATTAATAGCATCAGCCTTTTATGAAACACGTTTTGTCATAACAACATATACCTTGATGTAATGGATTGCAAATTTTCACGAACACATTGTGGGTAATATTACCGTATGTATTAAAGTAGGCTTTTGTTTTACGCGAAATAAATATTTCTTTTTAAACATGAATACTTTGTTAAAATATAGAAGACTAGCTGACTTCGTACGTACGAATTTCACCGGGTTCGCTTGACCGCTTAACAATCGATGAATGTGATTATCTTTAAATGCCGAAATAAAATAAAACGGAATACAAAAATAGTTTATTATATTAAGATAACAGATATAGAGAAAATTAAAATTTCATAATGAATACTTAAATGGCATATCAGCAAAATTCAAAACGGGGTTAATTGGTTGCCAGATATTTGCCCTATATTCCCCAAACGCAATCATCCCTTAATCTATTAGTACCTTAAGACTTCTTGGGAAATTAGTAACGGTTCTATATTTTTGGAACCAAAACCAAACGGAGTAAAATTTATATCATGATGAAACGAAAACTATGATATTGATTGATAGTTACAATACTGAAGTTAAATTCATCGTCTCCTTGCTAAAATATCAGCAGCTTACGACTAGAGTATATTCTTAAATTACATTATCTTTAATTCTTTCTAAATTGGATCGTTTGCTCAATAGCGGTATTCGCTTCATCTTCGGTTTGCGTAAGTACGACCATATTATCTCGCACTATAGAAATCAACTCAAGTGGCTGTCCATACGTGACCGTAGAAATCTCCGGATTGTATGCATGATTTTCACTATTTTATACGATCCACGTGCTCCAGAATACTTGAAATCTAGGTTTCAGTTTCTGGGTCCCTCCAAACCACGTGATCTTCGCTCTTGCAGGCACCTTACCCTTAAAACTCATTTTCACCATTCTGGTTTCGTTTCCAAATCTTTCACTATTACAGCTTTACGTCTTTGGAATGCTTTGCCATTGAATATTCGCAGTGCTCGTAGTAAGTTGGAGTTCAAAAAACTAGTGCTGCATGCACTATCTGACCGTCTAATATTTCTCTGGTCTGCAGTCATCTATACCATCTGATATAGTTATTTCTAACTAATTAAGTGTATGTATATATTTATATATGTATGTTTATTAATTTATATATATGTGTATTTGTATTTATATATATAGGGATATTTTATTATTAGATATAATATATATTTATCGTTTATAGTATAGTATAGTTCTGTAGGATAATATTATTATTATTATTTTT